GGGGGGGGGGGGGCTTGGCTGAGGTTAGACCCGCTGGACAGGAGCCTGGACAGCTAGTAGTCGCGCTCCTGATTACCATGTATGCAGAACTACACATCACTGTGGCGTAGGTTGCCATACCTACTTATTACTTGCTAAGTCCCTTATCCTCCAAATGCACCCTAGTCTCTAGAACCCCAAAGGCCTGCTCACTGGCTCATCAAGCACACTTTTATGAGGGCAGCTTTTCAATCTATGCTTCCTTTTGGGCGCATAACGCATCAAGAGTATCTAGTATGCATGAGAAGCCGCAGGGCCTCGTTACTGAAATGGTGAAATTCAGGGGTTTAGGGGTTTAGGGGTTTAGGGTTTAGGGTATTGTAAACCCGACAAAACACGATTACTGCAGCGACTGCCTAAACCCCAGTAGCGAATTCTTGGGTACTTTGCACTTGCCGGGAAAGGCCCCTGAACCCTAAACCCTAAACCCTGAACCCTGAACCCTAAACCCTGAACCCCAGACCCTAAACCCAAAAGCAGTGGCACGAGAGGCAAAGCCGGCGGTCTTGAAGAAGCCGCGGTTCGTTAAGGACAGGACTTGCGGTCGAATATAACCTTACTTCAAGAGTTTCTAGAAAGGTTCCTATAAGGGTTGCTAGAAAGGTTCTTGTTCGTCGGGTTCATTGAATTTCGGCTTCGGGATTTTTGGTAAATCGTATCCCTTTAAGGGTTCCTTTCAGGGGCCTACAATGGGTCTATAAGGTTAGTTCCGAAGGCCCATATCTTGCCATGTTGCAGCCCTTCTCGGTAGTTCCGCTTTTGGCCACCAGCTGCCTTCAGGGCTTTGGGTGCTGCTGTAGGCTTTGGCTTCGTTCTTTTGGGCTTCGCGTTTAGGGCTCAACGGCTGAAGGGAGATGTTGGCGAAGTGAGGTTCGTTCCATGGATGAGGCTGAGGCCGGGGCCAAAGGGGTCAGAAAACCCGACTTTGGGGGGACGCCCCGAAAAGAAGCGGTGATCATTCAAAGGGCTCGTCCAGAGTAACTTACTTTGCATCAAAGCGTCATATTGTTATTCCTAGTATGAGTACTATTGTTGCTATTATTACTATTGTAGTTACTACTGTTACTATCATTGCTACTACTATTATTGCTGTTATTATTTATTATTATTATTATTGTTACTATTATTATTATTACAAGTAGCTATTCTTATTGTTTCATAATGCATATCTCTGCCACCTGACAAGCTGAGTCTCGCCAGCTTTTGAAGCCGCTGTAATACCAGATATCGCTTGAGAGCCCATCCCCCACGGGAAGTCTCATATGACGAGCAGCGAAGCGCTTGTCGAAATTGGGTTAGGGTTCCCTTAAGTTTTGCCAGTTTCGTCATCACCCCAAATGCCCTTCTTGTGTTCATCTTGCAGCTCTGTTTCTCCTGCGACAAAGGGTTGCGGAAGTACATTGTTCGGCCATCCTAACGTAGTCAACGTAGTCCGCAAGCTGGGATCGCAAGTTTGACAGCGCTCATGTCCATGAGAGAACTGGGCCCAGAAGTATGACTACTGTATTAATTTCGCACATACCCTGCTCCCGGAACCGGCTCTGCAATCCGAAAGGCCCTCTCGACCGTGTCGTCTGAAGCTAAAGCCCCGGAGGCCTTCCCAAGCTCTCTGCGCCCCAGACCAGGTCTCCTCCGTCAAGCCTGAGCAGAAGGGGCTGAACCTACAGCTGAAGGTGGTGAAGCTCCGTGGCTGCATTTCTCTAAAAATAGGGTCCCCTTTTAGGGTCCTTTTTATAAGGGTGCTGTACTACATTGGGGTAGAAAAAAAGGGAGCCTACTTTAGAGAACTACCCAGATTGCTAGGATTCAGCAAGCCTTATGTGCTGGACCAATCTTGGAAGGACTAAGAGGTACAGTTGTCGGTTGGGGACCTTGAAGCCTTTGCTTTCGTTTCCTTCATGGTCCGGACTTGTGAGTCTTGCGCCTTGAGGCTTCTGACTTTGAGGGCTTTGGCTTGGAGTTTCACTCGCAGTGCCTTGTGGCTTGCATCCCTCTGTCTTCTTCTTCGTGACACGGACCCGGAACATCTCAAAAGCTTCAGTTTCTTACGCTCCATGACAATATCATTGCAACATGAGCAACCAGCAGAGCCACCGTAACACTAAGCTAGAGCAGAACATCGTAAATCCTAGACATTGCCGGTAAACCTAAAACCTCAGCCTGGCTCCACAGAGTCCTTCCGTTAGCTACCCGTGGCGAGCAGAAAAGGTGCGTCAAAAACAACCCTAAACCCTAAACCTTACACCCTAAACCTTAAACTTAACACCCTAAGCCCAAAGCCCAAAACCCTTTTTTAAGCCCTAGCTCCTAGACCCTAACACCCTGAACACCCTAAACACCCTAAACACCCTAAACACCCTAAGCCCTAAGCCTTAAACCCTGAACCCAAAACCCTAACACCCTAAACCCTAAACCCAAAACCCTAACACCCAAAACCCTGAGCCCAAAACCCTAAACCCTGAGCCCAAAACCCTAACTAAGCCCTATGCTCTGAACCCTAAACCCAAAACCCTAAACCCTTGGCCTTAAACCCCTAAACACCCTAAACGCTACCTAAACCCTTAGCCTTAAACTCTGAACCCAAGAGCCACAGCAGCTCCCAGGCTTCCCGACGAGGTGGCCAGCGACGGCTACCACGACGTGGTGTGCGGCGATGCCCGGGGACCCATGCTGGGTTTAGGGTTTAGGTGTTTAGGGTTTGGGGTTTGGGGTTTAGGGTTTGGGGTTTAGGGATTTTTTTGCACATCTTGAGGACTGGGGGGCTTGTAAGGGCGCCCCTGCGGTTTGTATAAGGTCTTTATCAGGGTATTACAAGGGCCCTAAGAGGTGTTAAGTATCTTGATTCAACCCAGCAGATAGGTATCTACAGGACAGGAAAATGTTTTCTCTTCAGTATGACAACTTAAGTAAAGGCCCTCAACAAGAGCCCAGAATGGGGAACGAAGGGGCTTGTCGGGGAACGGACAGTGTGCAGAGCTCGGGTTTGAAGCTCAGCGAAGGGAAGAGTTTAGGGAACGTGTTTGGCGTTGAGGTTTTAGGGTTTAGGGTTTAGAGTGTTTGGGGTTGAGGTTGAGAGCTTGACTCACTTTACATAAAGCTCTCTTACATTCATGGAAGTGGGGCCTTGTGGGTATGGCGGCTAGGGTGTTCCAAGCGGGTGCAGCGAGACACCTAGGTTCGTTTACAGTCCCTAAGCCTGGTTAAGGATGGTGTCTGTTCGAATGCTTCAGTGTACACGACAGAGGGTCGCTGCCGGGACATGTTGTGGGGTTCGAGGTTGCATGGTTCGACGGTTGTGGAGTTGAGGGTTCATGTTCAGACGTTTTCACAGCAACACAGCCTGTAGTACAGGAGCAAGAAGCATGTTAAGACCCTCGGGCGCAGCAGAGCGTCCTGTCCCAAAACCGTCGACCAGTGAGCCGAGCCCTAAACCCTAAACCCTAAACCCTAAACCATAAACCCTAAACCGGCAAGCCGAGGCGAGTGGTGTGGTGACTTGCCACCTCACGCCGCAGCAGTTCCTGCCCTGCGAGGCCATGTGGAGCAAGGGCCGTGAAGAGGAGGGGTATTCTGGCATTGCACTTTGTGGCTTTCCATATTCTGTAGCATATGATATCTCATAAGGGAGAAGATCTATTTCCATATTCTACATTGCACTATATGATCTCTAATAAGGGAGATTTACAAAATGATCTCTGATGAGGGAGTAGAAAGATGAGGCTTCCGTCCGTTTTTTGCAGGCGGGAAGCTACATCCGAGTGCAAAATGCCCGGGTGCGAATGAAAGGCCGGGCCGGCTGGGGTGAGGTTTCCCCCTAGACTAGGGTTTAGGGCTCAATTAGGGCTTCAGGTTTAGGGCCCAGGGCTTAGGGTTAAGGGCGTTTTAGAGCTTAGGGCTTCAGGTTTAGGGCGTAGGGCTTTGGTTTTCGGGCTTCGGGTTCAGGGTTTAGGCGCCGCAGTTTTGCAAAAGGTACACCCCAGATCATCGAGAATACACCCTAAGCCCCAAAACGTCTTCTATGCCAGGTTCTTGCTAAGGAGCACAATTCGAGTATTCCGGTAACTTACATTAGTAGGTTCCTGAACTAACAATAGCCTTTTGTGTCACAACATGTCGGTGGTGCACGGCAGCCACAACCCGAAGCCCGGCCATCAGAATAAGAAGTGTAGTTCAAAGTTTAAAGTCTAAACTGCGCTCAGACTCAACTCCAAGTTCCTAAACTCCACAAGCCGTACACCCCTGGCCCTACACTCCAACTTCTAGACAGGAGGTGTAGGGTTTCAATGCCACACCTCAGGAAGAGTTCGTGGCTTGAGCTCCTGGAAGCCTTGGAGGAACTCAGGGAACTTGGGGTTTGGGACTGTTTAGGATGAAGGCTGAGCCTTGAGCCCGAAAGAGAGGCGACGGAATGGTTGCTGTCAGAACCCCTCTAGAACCCTCATACACACCCGTGTAGAATCCATGCAGGACCCCTCTACAAAACTATGCACCTAGAATTTCAGACACACCCTTTATAGAACCCTTCTGGAGCCCTAAACCCTAAATCCTATATCCTAAACCCGTAAACCCCAAACCCCAAACCCCAAACCCTAAACCCTAAACCCCAAACCGCCAACCCCAAACCCTCAACCCTGAACCCTAAACCCCAAACCCTAAACCCCAAACCCTAAACCCTTTTGGGCCCTCGGTGTTTCGGGGCCACGGAAGGCCCCAGGGGCAGGGCCTCTGGCCTCCGCTGCTGCCTGGCCCTAGCTCTCCGGCTGCTAAAGCCCCACCACTCTAGGGACCGATGGTAGGGTTTAGGGTTTCGGTTTTTAGGGTTTAGGGTTCTAGGGTTTAGAGTTTAGGGTTTTAGGGTTTAGGATTTAGGATTTAGACTTTACGGATTTAGGGTTTAGGGTTTACGGATTTATTTAGGGTTTACGGATTTGGGGTTTCGGGTTTACGGGTTTCGGGTTTACGGGTTTAGGGTTTTAGGATGTACGAGTTTAGGGTTTAGGGTTTACGGGTTTAGGGTTTAATTAAAGGTTCTCTTGGAAACCCGAGGGGCCTTTTGGGACTCGAGGGTTTGGGGTTTGGAGATCCCCAGTTTAAGGTGGCTTTTATGAGAAGATGTAGGGTTTGCTAAACTGGGTTCTTATTAATAGATGTAATTTAGGTTATCATAATAGGGATCTATAGTAATAATACGGTTTCCTTATTATGGTAACTTAAGTTAAAATTCGTATCAAGAACCCAGTAGAAGGGTCATTATAAGGGTTGCCAGATGGGTTTGGGTTGCCCCTTTGGGGTTTTACAGGGCCGTTTAATGGCTTATGTAAGCTTAAACTGGTTCACGGACGTAGGCCGGTAGAGGGGTTTATTCATGTTGCCTTCGAGGCAAGGGTTTAAAGTTGGCGTTTAGAGGTCTAGGAAGGCTTTCATAGTATGGGTTTCGATGGCTCGGTATGCATGAGTGTACTATAAAGTCGCTCCAAGTCTATCTATCTAGCCAATGCTCGCTAGGCGACATCGAAGTGCGCTAGGTGTG